GGCCTACACTGGAATCTGAATGAAAAAAATGAAAGAGACGGTGCACAAATGGGCAACGAAGGGGACCCCGTAAGGTTGGCGCCTCGGGGTCCTCGTCAATGACAGGCGGGAAACCCCCGCCTACCCCCGTAGAGGACTCTGCGTGGCAGCATAATCGCTGCGCTGGCAGGGAATATTCGCTACCCTTCGAGAGGGTTCGGAAGAAATGCACATGCCACGCAATGCATGCGACTGTGATTGGGCCGCACGGCAACATCCCCGTCACTGCTGTCACGATCGATGGTTCTAGACAAAACTGTGCGGTGGGAAACCGATCCGCTGATGTTTTTGTCTGAAAACCATGCACGATCCCACGTGTTGCATGGTCGGTTGAATTCGCCTTATTGCAGGCTTCAATTTGGTATGTTTAAAAGTGATTTTTTTTCCTATTACAAGCGCATGCGCTTATAAAAATGACTCGATTAGAAGCGCACCCCCCTAAAAAACACTGCTTTATTATAAGCGCACCTGCGCTTCTATCCGGGGTAATACGGTACCGTTACCACTCTAGCTTCGATATATATTCTTCTCTCATGCCTTCGCTCAATGTACTGTTTTGCTTCGATACTGCAATTCTCGCTCGCTCGCTCACTCGTCACAGATTCATTCATTACACAGCTTAAGATCTTGTAGTCCCCCATGGCCATTCTGTTAAGAACTATAGTTTCTTTCTGTGGCGTACCTTATCGAAGGATAGGGTCTTGCGTCAGTTAGGTTCGGCCTACAATTCGCCCCAAACCACTCCAGGGGAGCCTCGTCTACCCCGAGGTCATTGCATAGCTAGATTCTGCCCTACTTAGCCTTGTTTTAGGACTTTCAAGGGACTGATTGCAGCTCGTTCGTGAAACCTGGGTCCAGGGTCATCGACTGATCTTGACTCGACTGCAAACACCCTCTCCGTCTCAGTCCTAGAACTGTATGGGTTCAGCAACCTAGCGGAGGACCTCCAGTTCAGGGTGTCTATTCGCACATTAGTTTTGGATCGAAAAGTTATGGATCCGGGTACACCCCAGAGGCAGAAGTGATTTCATTAATCACACCCAAATACACCGGTGTATTTGGGTACACACGCATTCTGCCGGTACAAAATGTATCACCGCCCTAGCGAAGGCGTGGCAGCTTTGCCGACGCGGAGAATCATTCCCTTCCCCACGATAGCACAGCTTTTGTGCACAAAGCAAAGCACAAACCTCCCAAATCCAGTGTACACAGTAAGTCTGTTACTGCTCGTAAAAAAATGAAACCAGCGGTGGGAATGGATGGATTTATCCGGAAACGTTTGCTAGCCAATCATCTAGCTCTCCTCTGGTTCGCCCAACTTCGCAGATATCCTGTAATTTTGGAGACTTTGTTGAAAACAACGGTCCTATTCGGGCGGTCATTACGACCCGACCACTCTCCTTGCTGGTTTGATAAGCACCGACTTAATTTGCGGGCGAAATACGATGCACACTATTCTGGCATTTTCCCAATTGTTGATAGCCCTTCCACAATGCCTCGCTGCGAGTGCAGGAAGGTAGCAATCGGACGTGCTTGAATTGTGATCGGCACTTCAAAAGTCACCACCCGCAAAAGCTTGAATCAGTCCGAAATTCAGGGTTCTTGGAAAACAAAAAACGACATGGCAACGAATCAAGTCTGCAGCTGGATTGCACTGCTTCTCCGCGGAGGTTCTCATGTGGCAGGTGGGGTACACCTATTGTACACTGTACAAATGAAGAGTGGCTTCAAATCAACCAAACGAGTCTCCTGTCCACCGACGAACAATGTGAGGGACGCCCCGATATTAAAATATTCACAAAGCTCCCAATGGGATAGGATTTTCTTACGTGACTGTGCAAAGCCGTGTTTCTAGCTGTCGGTTTGCTTGTGTGGTTCTCGCAAACGCGGTTCTTGTTTTGTTCATATGCTCACTGTTTTAAATTATTTTAAATCTCAGACAGCTGGGAATCTGGGATAGCTGACAGTCTAGCCTACAGCTGGTGCTCTGTTCTGGTCTGGTGCCTCGAGTCAAAAGTCCTCAAAAGGGCGTGCTAAAAAAACTGTACGGACATAAGAAATTGAAGGCATGATTGTTGTGCACTGCACGTTTACGGGCTGTAATGCTCATAATTTAGTGGTGAAAGCGGGATGACGAGAACGAGCTCTCGTTCAACCTGGTGCATCGTAGACACAACATTCCAGCCTGGAGAAACGGAATGAGCGAAAGGCATTCCGTGACCCAGATCCCATGCCACGACAAATGGTCACACTTCCCTCTAGGGTTACGATACGACACAGTTTCGACACAGTTTCGACAGAAACAGCAATCTTAAAAATAGCAAGACCTGTTGATGAGCTCTCAACCTTCGGGATTACGCAGCTGTCCTATGTCGAACAAGAGTAGCTTCTTTGTTACGTGTACAGCTCGAGAGAACGCTGGGGCACGCCGGAGCGAGCCCTTTTCACAACGCAGCTGCAAATTCATGCATCTGTCACCCTCTCAGCGACCGACAGGCTATGCAGCTGCTGGCCATTTCAGATTACAGAAATACGCAATCATGCAGTTAAGAACAGCTCTAGAAAACATATCCAGAGAGGTCACTGACAGGAAAATCCGGTCAAGCTGGCAGAAACCTGGAGTTTGGCAGCTGCGCCAGTCATGCCAGTTCGTACCACTACTAGTGAAGCCAAATATTTTTTTTTCCCACTGGCATCTTCGCTCGTCGGTTCCTTTGTTTTGTTTGCTCATTTTTTTTGCTTCCCTTCTCTTTTTTTTTTCCCCCTAAAATCCTTTCTAACAGAACTCTAGAGTGAGTAAAAACTGACCAAGTGGTAGGCTCGGTAAATAACTTTCAATGAGCAACTTAGAGCGGGGAGCTGTAGCTCATGGATTCATAGTAGCTCCATGAGTCATGGACTCTTAGTAGCTCTCCTCTGACTCACCAGTGACGTTGTAGTCGAGATGCTCCTTCTCAACAGCTTGTACTAAGCATGCCGCATCTACTAGTATTGCGGCATGCTCTCTCCTTTGAGACGTCTTTCGAAGAGTGTTATGTTGATGTTGACGTCTCCTTCAAGGATCACCTAATGATGATGTTGTTCCAGCCGAAATATGTGCTAACTCAGCAGAGTTACTGACTCTCAGAGCCTCTCAGAGGTGCTCTCATTATCCTTACGCAACCGTATTAGATGTTACTCCTGCTTCCAAGATCGATAGCTGGAAAGCTGAAACTGACGTTTGACAGAGGAGATTTTGAGGCGGAACAGATGGACGGCTGAGATGCACCACACATCAACTGGAATACAGATGATTCGGACACCAGGGAGTAGTCACCAAGCAACTCCCATTCGAAACTGTCAGGAGCTCACTGAACGATCATTTTTCAGTCTTGGGAGGATCAGGATTAAGCTAAGGTGAATTCGGCAGTTGACCGGAGAATGTTCAAGAAGTGACTATTAATGTCGTGAGAAGTGGGAGGTCGACCGGCAAAGGGCTGATCATGGAAGAGCAAGGCTTGATGGAGCAAGCAATGGCGGCTCAAGCTGGAGACGCACAGGAGGAGGAAGGGGTGGCGATGGTCCTTGACCCTGCATTGGGCGATCAGGCGTTGTCTGGCCCAGAATCGGTTAACACAGCATTGGCTGACCCTGCATTGGTCGGCTCTGCATTGGTTGATCCTGCATTGGTTGATCCTGCATTGGCCGACCCTGCATTGGCTGACCCTGCATTGGCCGACCCTGCATTGGCTGAGTCTGCATTGGTTGATCAGACATTGGTAGACCATGCATTGGTGTCCCTGGACCAAGTAATGCTAGACGGAGGCATGCTGAATCAAGGAATGTTGAATCAAAGCATCCTGAGTCAACGCACTCAAGCCTTATTGAATCACGGTGTGCTGGATCAATCCCTGCTGAATCAGTCATTGGTGGATCCAGCGTCACTCGATCTAGCACTGATTGACCAATCATTGCTGCATCAAGCCCTGGCGGATCAAGCATTCATGGACCAAGGGTTGCTGGATCAAGGCGTGCTAAACCAGGCCTTGCTGAACCAAGCGTTGCTGGACCAAGAGTTGCTGGGCCAAGCGTTGCTGGGTGGAGACATGGCGACGAGCTTTGCCCTGGATCCAACTTGGTTCAACATGCATCGCATTCTCACACAATCATACAATTCTGATGGAGCTGCTGCTGCTGCTGCTGCTGCTGCCCCCCCCACCACTGCTGTTGCTGCTGCTGCTCCTCCTTCTGCTTCTGCTGCTGCTACAGCTGCTGCTGGTGGTCCTACTGCTGCTGCTGGTGCTGGGCCGAACCCACTCCCATCACATCTCAACCACGATCTCATGACCATACAGCAAGGATCTGATGCTGCCGGTCGTCCTACTGCTGATCCACAACAACATACAGCCATCCCATACTCCACCCCCCCCAATCCCTCACCACCTGCTCCTACTCCTCAGCCCTCACAGGGAATCGCTCCCACTTTCCCTCTGATGTCCTTCCCCTCTACTCAGATGCCTCGCATGGTTGATCCATGGTTGATTCCTCCCAGCTGGAAAACAGGACCCGCAGCTGTTTCTGCTGCTTCTGCTGCTGCTGCTCCCTCTGCTGCTGCTCCCACTTCTTCCAGATTGCAAGGAGGAAGGCCACATGCAGCAGCAGCGGCAGCAGGAGCAGCAGCAGGAGCAGCAGCAGGAGGCGAAGCAGCAGCAGCAGCAGTGGGTGTGTCAGAGCAAGGAAGGCAGCAAGTGGCAGGAGCAGGGAGCACGCCAGCAACTGTTCTCACCAGCCATACCAGCCACTATACCTACCCCAGAAGAACCAGTAGTCCCAGCAGCACCAGCAATCTCAATAGCCCTCTAAAACCCAGCAGCATCACCAGTCCTTCTCTTTCCCTACCTCATACACATGCTTCCAAGATCTTTGATAGTCCAGTTGCCATATCCCCTGATTCAGTTGCTATTACCCCAACCACAGCCGCC